AAGAGTGCCATCTCGCAGATACTGCAAAGTTAGGGTAAGACTTGGCAGGAAGCAACACAGATGGCATCTAATAGGACGGAATGGAGAAAGTTCGTCAAGATCTAGGACACCTCAAAAGATATAAAATATTGTAATTGAATGAATTGTATTATAAACGGCCCAACACCGTAAGGTACAAATGGGTCTACTGATTAAGTTAAGTTAAGTATGTCTTTTATAAATTTTTGACATTGAAACTTTCAATGGACAATTATTTCAGTGACGGGTCCTTATGAATGAGAAATTCAACTTCTAACTACTCTTTATGAAGGAGAAACTTCGGATGTAGAAAATGATTCCGATAGTTCTATTGCCGACGATGATAGAGAAGAATTTAGCGATCATGCCGAAAGCAACACCAACGATTGAAGAACAAACAATTAATGAAGAACAATCTGACAGGAGATTTTATTATTATGTGAAGGATGAAACTAAATGGAAGAAGAATGACATGGAGTTTCGAGGTACATTCTTATATCATCATCTTCATCGTTATTAGTATCTGGTGCTGCGAATACAGTTGCAAGATGCTCTGCGAATAATGTTGTTTTTTCTGCGGTTGTGCGGGCCCTGTTTTTCTTACAGGTGAATTTGTTATTGTCGGTCGTTTAAACTTTTTTGTAGCTTTCCATATAGAGTGGTCTTCATGTGAGAAATTCGAAACACAAAACTAAAAGGAGTCGTTTTTTTCTTCATGTAATGCTCTATTTAGTCTAGGACTTATGCTGTTAAGGTACGTTTTATTTAGTAAATTTCTCGTTTGTTGAAATATGCGTCGAGGTCTTCTTTTTTCTGCTACCAGTTCTCTTATATGAAGGGAGATATTGTGGTTTTCTTGCACACAATTTTTGTAAAATAGATAAACAATTTGATTTTTTGTAAATATGGTAAGCTGTCAAAATTATTATGTCAAATATATCACTTATTTTTATCAAATATGTCACTTAATATACAGGGTGAGTCATGAGGAACTTTACATACTTCTACCAAATGTAGAGTCCCTCAGGGAGCATATCATGTGGCCACTAAAAAATGTCAACTCCTCTTCTTTATTAATTAACAGGGTGATTTGTGTAATTGACCATTTATTTCATTTTACTGTAGTGTTTATACGGCTCATTTGATTTTTTTAATTTTTGCATGATACAGTACACTACTATCAAGTATTCGACTGGTATTAGCTAAACTAAAAAGTTCCAGGACTGGCTTTGGAAAAATTAATTTAGGGATTCGTATTAAATATTACACCCTGTATATATATTTTTTAAAATGCAATAAATGATTTTCAAACTACATAAATAGCCAATGAAAACGACATATGCGACAATCTTGTCGCACTTTTATTAAATTTTTAGTGAACGATCAAATCTTACCAAAAATAGAACAATCATAATGAAGTATCAAATTATAAGGTATTAATTTAAACAAATGTTCTAAATTTCAAACATTTTAATTAAAATGAGTTCCTACAACATAATCTAATACATAGAAAATTAACATCTTTATTGTCACTTTGTATTATCTATACGATAGAATCAATTGTTTTTCAATTTTAAATTTTTACTCATAGATCGTATTGGGGCATTATTTTCGATAAATAATAAATTAAATTGATTAAAAAGTCAAACCTCTTGTATGTGTTAGTTTTTGTTGACTATAAATGATTAAAATTTTATGTCAAATAGTAATACATTGCATTAACTGTACTAAATAAAAATAAATCTAAAAAAGTTTAAAATGAAGGTTGGCGTTGACCGTTTGACGTTTCTTGATATTTTATACCCATTGTCATTATTGTCATTATCAATTTATTTGTACAAGAATACATATTTCTTTTGTCATATCTACGTTAAGTACATTGTGTTAGTTTTGGTAGAGCTTTTGTTACTTTCGTTCAAAATGCCACATCAGTTTTCGACCACAGAATATGCAGACATATTTGTTTATGGATTCTGTAATGGGAATGGTAGGGCTGCTAGTAGAGAATATCGCAGAAGATTTTCTAATCGTCGAACTCCCAGTCATCCAACATTTGGGTCAGTTTTTAATTATTTGCGAAAAAATGGCACTTTTCCTAGTGGAACAACAGAGCGACATGTAGATGAAGCGCAGGAAGATGACATTATGGACGCCGTTACTATGAACCCTACAATAAGCACTAGACAAATATGTCGAGAACTCAATGTTACTCAATCAAAAGTAAGTAGAGTCTTACAGAAAAATAATCTATACCCATATCACGTTCAAATGGTTCAGCGACTACATGCTGGAGATGAGATCGATAGGTTGGAATTTTGTAGATGGATTAACAATAATCGACCAACGCTATACAGGACACTATTTACAGATGAAGCCCAATTTACCAGAGACGGGATAAATAATTCACGAAATTCACATGTGTGGGCAGAAGAAAATCCCCATGCTATTCGAGAACGTCGTTCTCAGTTAAGGATTTTCGGTTAACGTGTGGATTGGTGTCATAAATAACCAATTAGTAGGTCCTCACTTTTTTGATGGTCCTTTAACAGGGCAGGTCTATTTGAACTTTCTACAAAATATTTTGCCGAATTTGCTTGCCAACGCGAACGTTACTATCCGAGGGATGTATTTTCAGTATGATGGGGCACCCCCACACTTTTTACTGGCAGTGAGACAACATCTCAATAATGTTTATGACAACAGGTGGATAGGACGTGCAGGTCCTATTTCGTGGCCTTCAAGATCCCCTGATTTCAATCCCGTTGATTACCATATTTGGGGACATTGAAGCAACTAGTTTACGCAGTGAATATTAATAACCGACAACAATTAATTGATAGAATTATACATTGTTGTAATGCTATTAGAAACGATCCCAGAGTATCCGTAATTCAATACGTCAATTAACAATTCGGCAACAAAAATGTGTACAGGCTGCAGGGTTCCATTTCGAAAATCTATTTTGAATTATTTTTATTTTGTTACCATTATTGTATCTTTTCCAGTTCTAATTTATGGGTTTATCATAACTATGTACATATTTTTAGTTTTTTTTTTTAATTGTTCTTCGTTATTGTTAGTAGTTACTGTTTTTTCTTGTGCAGTGACTCAGTTTATCATTTCAATTAAAATGTTTGAAATTTATAACATTTGTTTAAATTAATTACCTTATAATTTGATACTTCATTATGGTTGTTCTATTTTTGGTAAGAGTTGATCGTTCACTAAAAATTTAATAAAAGTGCGACAACATTGTCGCATATGTCGTTTTCATTGGCTATATATGTAGTTTGAAAATCACTTATTACATTTTAAAAAATATATATACAGGGTGTAATATTTAATACGAATCCCTAAATTAATTTTTCCAAAGCCAGTCCTGGAATTTTTTAGTTTAGCTAATACCAGTCGAATGCTTGATAGTAGTGTACTGTATCAATTACACAAATCACCCTGTTAATTAATAAAGAAGAGGAGTTGACATTTTTTAGTGGCCACATGATATGCTCCCTGAGGGACTCTACATATGGTAGAAGTATGTAAAGTTCCTCATGACTCACCCTGTATACTTTAATTTAATATAAAACCCCCTCTGTGGCTCAGTGGTAAGAGCGCCTACCTTTAAACCTAAAGGTCGTGAGTTCAAATCTCACCTGGGTGGAAATTTTCGTTTATTAAAAATTAATGAATGAAAATAATTTCTATCCTTGTGCGATCGGTACTCACCAGAGGGACCGCAGACGTTCGGATACAATTAGCGTCTCTTAGCAAAGACAATGACGTCGACTTTGCTAAGTATCAAGACAATTACTCTACACACATACATACACTACACTAGGTACCTGACTGTACCATGCCAATAATCATAGTTGTCGAGGCATTAATTAAATAAAAAAAAAATTTAATATAAGTTACGATTTAGATATAAACAAACAAAATATTTTCATCGGATGGAAGAAAATACCCTATGAGTACAAATAAAAATTGTTTAAAAAATACTAATTAAAAGAAAATAAAAATATAGCCTTATTTGTGATTCCAATAGACTACCGTCGTCGTGCGGTCTTGTTATTATTTAGACGTCGTCGATCGGAGTGTTAAAAAAAATTGATGAAGGAACTAATCAAAGAAAGACCAAAAAGCTTTAAAATAATATAAATTATTTTTATATCGTGTACCTATACAAAAATAACAAATAGTATGAGACAAATATATAAATAATATATTATAAAAATAATTCTAAGTGAAATATAGTTTTTATAAAACAAAGATACTTACTGTATAAGTTCCATATCCAATCGAAGGTATTTTTATACCTTCTCGCATAATAAGATGCGGAACTCTTATGGATTCCAAAGAAATAAACATACAGAATAACAGAAAAAGACTACAAAATTTCGGGAACATCTTAAATGATCGAACGAGGTTTTCTTCGATGGAATTTAATACTGATACAAACTGGATAAAACATTTATAGTAACAATTTGTCAACTTGTTTTTATAGGAAGTTGCCTTATAGCAAGAGTGTTATTACTTAAACATTGGTTCCTTAAAAGCAAATATTATAAGATTTAAAATGCTATATTCGATTCGTGTGATCAGTAATTATTTAATATTGTTTCTTCCTTTGAATTTTGCGCTTGACGGAGCATAAAATAGCTTTGGTTAGTTATATAGAATTAAAATTAGGCATATTATTAACGCGTACCTTGCCTGTATGTATTAATAAGCCGGGAGGCCTGTATAGAAATCAAATTATTCAGGCACTGATCCGGTCAACATGAAAAATCTGGCTACAGGACGTTAGGAGTGTACGGATGTGGGGTCAGACCACAAGATAGTGAGTATAGTAGGCAGTGGAAGAATTTTCTGATAGAAACTTTAAATCAAGTTGTTGCTCTCCAGTGCTAGAAAACAGAACACCTTACTTGAAGAACAACTCTCGGTTTTTTCGACTACGAAAACTAAAACAAAAAGATTTTGTTTTGTACATACATATATTTAAATAAAAATGTTTATCTCTACATACATTTAAAAAAATTAACTATTTATGTGGCTTTTCGATATTTTAAGCCTGCAAAGGGGTACTCAGGGTGGTCGAATATCCTAAAATAAAATATGTATTATTAATCATTCTGATAAATAATTTGGAAAACTACACAAGATCTGACAAGATCGCTGATATAAATCTGTTAGAATAAAAACCTTAAAATACTTGGAAAATCTAACTGTGACTATTTTATTTTCTTCTTCTGTATATAAGCAATTTTGCTTGTTTATTGGCCGGTTGTTGCCTCTATGGAAGATTGTCACTCCATCTTTTGCGCAGTCGGTCGATACTTCTTCTACCACTTTGTGATTTGTCCCTTGCTAGTTTAACGACTCTTGTGTCCGCCATTCTATGTGATTGTTTCATTTTTTTTTCTATTTAGTGTCCATTTGTCTATAGCCTGTACATTACATTGTCGCTTGGATGCAGAAGTAGCCTATGTCACAAAATGTTAATTGTACAGGAGAGCATTTTTTTTGTTTTTTTTTTTTCTCAAAATATTATAAAATTCTTTTATCAGAAAATTGTATAACAATGTTTACGAAGCTACTTTCCCTGCAGTTCATTGCTTTCACGATAAAAGCCACATTACAAAAAAAGATGGACATAGAATAGTAAAGTCTGAAATGATGTAGTCTATGTCCAAATTTGGACATAAAATATACTTGCATATAGGTACTTAGGCTAGTTCTGATTAATCCATAATATTAATAATCTAATCATGTAGTAGATATAGGTATAAATTATTTTTACAATAACAGTGTACTTACTCATAAATCGTATATTGTCGGCTTTCAGGTTTAACAAATCAGTTTCTGAAATTATTAACAACTGAGCCCTGTTCTTTTTAACAAAAGACAGAAAATATTATGTGATTCTCTTTCAATCACACTATTCTCCCTCATTTTGTGTGTGCCCTCGTTCCAGAAAGCTATGGCAAATTTTTACCTTATATAATTGAGAAATGTAATTGTATAATGAAAATAAGTATTTATTTCTATTTTCTCCGGCACAATTGTCAGAAAAAATTAAAACTCATTCCTACCTTGTCAAATATTACGCTTTATAAAATTCAAAAGGCAACTACCTATTTCACAAGAGCCTCTCTTGCCTATAGTTTCGTACAACATATAACAATTGCATTCCTTATTACCTAGATTGAAAATAGTAAAGTTATAAGTTAATAATTTTAGCTTATAATACGTTAATCCAACTTCCTACTTTGATACCTAAAGTAGTTGTTGTAAATCGAAAACTGCACAACAAATCTGTTGATTCTCCTCAGCTATTTTTTTGCGTTCTTAAATCCCCTGACTAAGTTTTTGGTTTTCAAGTGCAGTTGATACATTTTTTCAGCTGTTAATTTCTCTTCAGTAGACGATTGTTCGAATCCATGACAAATATCGCACACATCTTTCCTTTGGCTGAAAGAATGACATACTAAAATCTGAATTAAAGACAGACCTGTATGTACTTTCCGTTGCTACTTCAGTAATGTTCCTATCGAAACAGTATTCCTTTTATAAAGAATACGTTCTGGAAATGTTAAGAGATGCAGGTAAATACAAACGTGATATGTTTTTTCTGCAATAGTGACTTTCAATTGTCTGAAAGGAATTTAAATGTTCTCGAACGGATTCTTTAACAGATTCGTTGAGTAAGGAGTTTTTGCAGTTTTAACAACCTGGGCACTTATACAAAGAATATTTAAAATGAAAATCTTACACACAGGTACTTTGATGTTGTCCTTTATAAAAGAATAATTAAACGTGAATGTTCTTCTACTCTGTTGGTATGGAGAAGGCGATTCTTCATTTTTCTCTGTAGCAATATTTATCTTCTTTCGGTTAATTCTTGTTCTTTCTTTATTTTTTCTTTGCACTAACTTTGAAATGAAATCTCGTTGTCTGTTGATGTCTCCAAGATTCCAGTAACGACCAAATATAGATTGTCTTTCTTCTTCAGGAATCTTCTCGCTACATTTCATTCTACAATGACATGGATCTTTTATTTTACGGGATGGTTGAAGTTTATTTTTCCAAGAGTTGTATTCCTTTCCGCTATTTCTAGATGACTTTATTATATTTCTTCTCCAGGAAAGCGGGTTTATTTTTGTTTTGCGTGACTTTCTTATTGAGACTTCTTCTTCATCAGGTTCCTGATCCAACCAAACAAATTTGGGAACATTTTGACAAGCCTATGTCCTCAATATCTATACGTAAATTTATGCAGAACTACTCTATATTCACGGTAAACTTATGCAGAACTAGTGTATGTCCGGCTAAGCGAATGAGATACGATCGGTTCACTGCGGTGCTGTTACATAGACTGATTTTACATGAAAACTAACAACGGTACTGAACATAGACTAGTTCAAGGTTTGATCGATATGAGCGCCAGTTGTAAAGAGAGACATACAATACTTCTGCATCCAATGTAATGATGCTTTTACTTTTAAATGGACCTAAAATATTAAATTGTTTCAAATCAAATGTTTCCTGTAATTCTTCTGAGTATTCCCATTTCTGCTATTTCTGTCATCGAGTGCCATAGTCTGAGGACTAGTACGCACTCCAATGAGCATCGCCCGCCTCGAATTTTTTATTCTCTGTTAACCTGGAAATCCATATTGTCGCTCGTATAAACATTACAGCACATTATTTATATAGGTGATTCTCAAGTCAGGCAGGCCAGTCCTACACGGGCTCTCCTATAGCATAGCGCTCTAATTGCTCTGCTACTTGTTATAGACTCTGTTTTTTCTTTCAACTGCAAACTGAAGTTTTATTTCAACCTTAGTAGTTGTAATATAAGAAAGATCTTGCCTTTTTCAAGACAAGATAACAGAGCGACCGGCGTGATTTTCAAGGTTTTAAAACCCTTATTTTCCACCCCGAGACGACATGGCGCTCAACTCGCTTTCGAGCCCACGCATACCTGCACAGAAGGCATACAGCTGAATCCACCGTGTGCTGGATTCAAAAAGACAGCGGGGAGAACCATCGGATGTTAGCGCACCCATGCTAACCTGCCGACATCGAGGCCTTCTGCAGACCTGATACCTTCAGTGTGCAAACACCTTCGGCGAGACAAGCTTTTTCGAAGTTAGAAGCCCCAGTGAGGACTAATACAAACTCCTATGCGCATCGCCCCGACTCTAATTTGCCTATTGGCTGTTAACCTGGAAATCTCTATTTGTCGCTTTTATAAATATTACAGCACATATAAATCTAGGTATCAGAGCCTTCTTATCTGTCAACACTCCTCAGTTAGGCAATTTAACACAGCCTAATGATATCGACCAAGGTATCACGGTTATTAACGAACTAATAAATCAAGCAATTGAGATATCAGTCCTTAATAGGGTTATCATCCCCAGTAAACCTCCTCTACCTCAATACATTGTTGATAAAATCAAACAAGAGAGACGACTCCTCCGTCAGTTTCAACGTACCCACAACCCCTTAGTCCAAACAGTCATCCCCGTAATCAAACTACGGGTTATTAATCTGCAAGCCAGACAGTGGATTGCAGCTACCTCTAGTATAGTTTAGTGTTTACACAAACACGAAACTGGAGGACCAATCTGAATATAGTCTATAACAAGGTCAGGAGCAGAGTCATCTACTCAATGCTCGTTGTGTAAAGTTTCAAAGGACACACTCATGTACACTTATACACACATACAAAACATTCATTGGACCGATCATCGAGTATAGATCCAACATCTATATGGCGATGCGCTGCTACCTTACACAAAAATTGCTAAAACTGGAAAGGGGAATCCTGCATAGAGTAAACAACAAACGACGAGACTATCCTTCAGCCCTCATTCATCACCGGTCGAATATCCAGCCCATCAATGAGAGGCTCTCCTCTCTGAGCAGGAGTTACACAATCAAAACCATCCGTGGCCAAAACTTCAGAACCTAAAACCTAATGAAAACTACTTGCTCATCCATCGGCAATGTATTCACAAGAAAACCCAAATTCAAGCTCCCCTTCCCATCCACAAGATTATTTCGTTGCCAGCAATGAACTCCCTGATAAATACATTGGCATACTGGAGGCAACTCCCCTCTACTATCATCGCATTAACCAGTAAATACTCATTTCGAGCTTGTTTAGAAAGGAAGAGATCGGTTTTCTGTGGTTTCCCGATCCCATTTCACAATGGTATCTGTCTGGGGCTATTGCAGAGGATACAGCCACAGCTGCCCTCACGCGATCCGTGATTCACTACATCTATTAATAACAAATTGTATACATATAAATTCACTTAATCATAAACATACTTTTTTACCACAAAAAAATCTGAAAAGGATCGTTAACCAATAACCCTTTCGCCTCTGATTGTCCAGGAAGCTCCTTCGCCGACAGGTTCATTAAACCAACCACCAGTAGAACCCATAAAGCCAGTGAAAGAAAACACCAACCAAACACAAACAAACCACATCTTGAAGAGGTGCAGTAAGACACAAAAACACCAAACAAAGAAATCCTGTCCACAGAAAAGAACACCGGGACAATGCGACGTATAAATATAGGTGATTTTCTCGATGAGTATTCTCTCCTAGAGCATAGCGCTCTAGAGACTCTGCTTCTTGTTTTAGACTCTGTGGCTAAGTTTTCTTTCAACTGCAAACTGAAGTTTTATTTTAACCCTAGTTGTTGTAATATAAGAAAGATCTTATCTTTTTCAAGATAAGATAACAATATACATAGCGTCCGGCGTGATTTTTAAGGTGTTTAAGATCCTTATTTTCCACCCCGAGATGACATTTGCAGCATACCCTGTGTTCTGGCTGCGTCGGGTCTTGTTTCTAATATTGGTCTCATTATCGATCTTATACTGGACTTATAGATTCTTGATTTCATCTCACGGGCCGCCAAATAAAGCCAGGTTAAGGTATAAGTGTCTGTAATATTTTATTCGGCAACAGCAGAACTTTTCATCAGCCGTCATATTTTTCAGATTTGACAATAACACTTTTATAAATTTATAAAGAAATATTTATTAAATAAATATTTTTTTTATTTATTAAAGAAATAAAGGCTTTAGAAAATTCAGAGGAAAGAAAGAATTTAATAGAAATATTGCTATTTACAAAATAGCTTTTGGACCATCAATATTTGTTTAGTGCATCGTTAAAACTAGTTACTGCCAATCAAAATTTATTTATTTACCATATTTATCATTACTTTGAATTTGATATATTAATATTGAATAATATTGAATTTTACTCGTTACTTTAAGGAAATATTAAGTGAAATTATTTCTCAGCGTTCCTTAAAATAATTGTAAGGTGCCTACATTTGGCGCAACTCAACGACTGTGAATTATTATCATTTTAGTAGATTTTAATATTTTTAATTTCTAACAAAATTTTCAATTTTATTGCTAAGAAAATGTTAAAAATAGCTTTTTATTGAAAAATAAACAGCGATGAACATTTTAAAATTATTTTTAATTCTAAACAAAAATAATTCTGTCAAAAATAAAAATATTTTACTCTCGCTTAAAAATCACATTTTTCAAAGCACTTCATATACAACTAATAAAAGTTTATATCTGATGGCATATTATGGTATAAATCAGTATATATAACTGTTTGTAATGGAAAATAAAACTTCTTCTTTTTACGGTGCCTTATCCTTAAGGACGTTGGCCATTACATTTGCCCATTTAATCTTATTTGTAGCAGCCCTGAATAGTTCTATGGAGGTCATGTTCGTCCATTGCCGTAGGTTTTTAAGCCAAGAGTTGCGTCTTCTTCCTGGTCCTCTTTTGCTATTGACTTTGCCTTCGATGATAAGTTGGAGCAGTTCATACTTTTGATTTCTTATGATGTGAGCAAAATATTGTGTTTTCCGTTCTTTTATTATAAGCATAAGCTCTCTTTCCTTATTCATCCTCCGCAAGACTTCCGCATTTGTCGTATGGCTCATGTAGGATATTCTGAGCATTTTACGGTAACACCAGAGTTCGAATGCTTGGATTCTTTTTTGTGTTGCTTCTGTCATTGTCCAGGCTTCAACACCATAGAGCAAGGTGGAGAAAACATAGCACTTAAGTATTCTAGTTCTCAATGAGATGCCCAGTTGGCGGTTGCATAGAACTTTTTGCATTTTGTAAAACATTGTACGTGCCTTTTCCAGGCGTATTCTTATCTCTAATGAGTGGTCCCAAGTTTCATCAAGATTACTTCCAAGGTACGTTGTTCTTGTTACTCTTTCCAGATCTGTTCCGTCGACATTGACCTTCACCCTTCTGTTTTGGTGCTTGCTGATGACCATCGTTTTTGTCTTCTTTGTATTCAATTTCATTCCAAATTCTCTACAGGCTGTCGTTACTCGGTCCATTAAGCGTTGCAGAGCTTCAGCATTATCTGCCAGTATGACAGTGTCATCAGCATATCCCAGGTTATTTATACATTGCCCGTTTATAATTATACCATCCGAGGTGCCTTCCAAAGCTTTCTGAAATATCTTCTCAGAGTAAACATTGAACAGCGAAGGTGATAGGACACATCCCTGTCTTACTCCTTCTCGATATTGATTTTTCCAGATGTTTCGCTTTTTATTATGATGTTAGCCTTTTGCTCTTGGTAGAGGTTTGAAATGATCCTTTCGCGCGATCTTTAGTCTTTATCGTCGATATTACATGACCTTAAAATATCTATTAGTTTATCATGTTTCACCAGGTCAAACACCTTCTGAAAGTCTATAAAACACAAGTATACTCAGAATCGATATCTCTACATCTTTCAACTAGCACACGTATTGAAAAAAGTGCTTCTCATGTTCCGAACCCATTCTTGAAACCAAACTGAGTTTGACCAGTGTGTTCGTCTAGTTTATTGTATACTCTATTGTGTATTACTCGTAGGAAAAGCTTCAATATATAATTCGACTAATAATCCTATGGTCTTCACATTTCTTGAAGTTTCTCTTCTTTGGTAATGGTATAGACCGATGTCAGCCAATCATTTGGTATTATGCCTGTTTCGTATATTTTGTTAAATATATCTTCCATTACTTCGATGTGTTCGTCTAGTAATATCTTTATTATTCAGGGATATATCTTCCCCACAGCTTTCCGTTCTTTATCTGATTTGCCGCTTTGATAATTTCTTGCTTTGTGATATAAGGTCCAGTCGATGCCTCCTGCATATAAATGTTCGGCTCCTCGTCTTGAAACATCTCTTCCACGTATTCTCTGCATCTACCTATTTGGTCTTCTATGTTCAGTAGCGGGTTCCCATGTTTATCTTCGATGAAAGACGTAGGAGTTGTTTAAATATTCCAGCGGCTTCTTTTACTTTTTTATGTAGATTGAAAGTATCATGTCTTTGTTCCAACTCTTCAATTTCTTGGCATATTTCACTTTGCCAGGTTTCTTTGGCTTGTTGGATCTTTATTCTGATATTCTTGTGTATTTGCTTGCATGTTGTTTCATTTTTACCTCTGTATTTTCTTCTTTCGTCCATCATGTTTAGAATTTCTTCTATCATCCATGTTTTGTTCTTTTTTCGTGTATCTTGTTTGAGGTAGTCTTCTGTTATTCTTGTAAGTGTTTTCTCAATATAGTGCCAGTCTTCCTCGTGAGTTTGTGTCGATTGTACTGTTCTGTTACTCAAGTGTCTATGTATTTCTTCCCGTATTTTATTACTAGTGGATTCTTCTTTAAGCTTATCTGGGTTAATAGCTATTATTTGCTTATTTCTTTTTGTTCTTTTAAATTCTATCCTAATTGTTGCAAGAAGAAGATTGTGGTCGGTGGGGATGTCAGCTCCGGGGTATGTCTTGCATGCTTTTACCGCGTTTTGTATCTTTTGTTGACCATTATGTAATCGATTTGATTTCTTGTGATGCGTCCTTCTATTCCATCTGCTGGAGATTTCCACGTGATTTCCAAAATAAAACTGCTTTTACTATTTCCGTTACAATTTCATCAAATTTTTTTAAGTTTAAGCCAAAAAAGTAAATTTACGTCACTTTGAAGTTTGTTAAACGTCACTGTATGTTTAAATGAACTACTGTAGAGGTACATCGTGTAAAACATTTTAAATTTAGAGTTTAAAAAAATAATGGTCATTTATCGGGATAAAAAATATTCTATCTCCTAAGTTGGACCAACAACTACACTTTCACAAAATTGTATTGCAATCGGTTCAGTGGTTTTTGAATATTAGCTTGGACGAACACCATGCCACGAGATTTTTATATAAAAAAATTTGCACCGTTATGCAAATAATTTCTCTTTTAGTGGTTTCGTAAATTTTCGGAGACCTCACAATGAGCAAAAAATTGTAGTGTTTAAAAGTCTTCAAAAGTAAAGTAAAATGTTTCCAAAGTACAATTTAATTGGTTATGAGTAATTCTTTATTTTCTTTTTATGAACCTACTTGAAAATAAATAAATATAATAAAAGTACTTACTCAGGGTGCAAAAATTTGAAATCGAAAATTTTGCCCTTTTCTCCTAGATCTAGTTTTCTCATTTGTTTCATATCGTTTCTATCCAAAGAAAAATCAAATATTTGGAAATTTTCTTTGATTCTATTTTTACGATCACTTTTCGGTATAACAACTACACCCAACTGATAAACGAATCTCAGAATAACTTGAGCAGCAGATCTTTTATGTTTCGCTGCTATCCTTTTTATTTCTGGATTGTCCAACACAGGTGGCACTTCTATTGGACTAAAAATTATTATTTCTATTTATTTCGTTTTAGAGACACTTTAACACTAGAAAAGTATGCATAGGTTATTCCACGAATATACGACTGTTTTGGATTATTGCGACAACGAATATTTTGCTGTGCAAGTATAAGTATGAAAGTAAATTGGAATTGGTAAATTCCAATAAAAATGATCTAGTGTTAGTATACCATATAAACTAAAATTATTTCAGTTAATAGATGTTCAGATAGACACAAAATTTATTGTGAAATTTAATTCGAAAATAACAAAAATTTTTACGCAAACGCTCCTACAAATAAATACAATGACGTCTATGAAGCCAAATGTGTTCATCAGACATTTGGGTTGGGTTTCGGTAAAATGTAAACACCAAAGAGACGTACCGGGTTTCCTTGATATTACACTATACTTTTATTAATTTCTTAGGTACTACAACTGTAACCAAAAGAAATCTACTATTTTTAATATAAATGAAAAGAAATTGGCAGAACGATCGTTCAGAAACCAGAAAAAGAATCTAATATTTCACTTTGTTAGTTTTAAATATTTGTTTGCTTTGATTGGATGTACTCTTAAAAGTTCCGAAGGTAACGGGTATAACATACCGGCTATTGACAGTTAAAGTAACGAGTCGTTACAGATATTAAAAAGTAACGAAAATTTTAGTTTTAACCGACTGATTTTAGTTTTAAAAAACCGTCCGTATAGAGGTGTCCGTTAAGAGAGAGTTTAGTGTAGTGTATTTGTTTATTGAAGCCAAAAATCCCGAGACGTGTTTTAGATGTAGACAACTTTATATTTAATATACGTTCTTATTTTACTGCTGATAAAACCAACGGGGGTCCTTTGCGACTAGTTCAGTCCTTACATAAACGTGTGTGTGATGCACTCTGTATTAGTGAAACAAAACTAAAGTCGGTTTTGCAAAAAGCAAAAAAAAGTGGACAAATTGAACAAAATGTCGCACAATATAAATCTCGCCGACAACCAAAGACTATAGATCTTGCAGAAGGTTGCAAATTTGAAATCCGTAAGACAATATACAAAATGCGCAAAAAGAAAGAACATGTTTCTTTAGATTCAGTGCTACAAAAATTAAAAGACTGAAATATATTTAAAATTTCCAGAACAAGTCTTTGGAGAATTTTAAGACAGATTGGCTTTACGTTCAAAAGGAAGACAATAGAAAGGCTTTGTGTGAAAGAGCTAGTGTCGTTCACAAAAGAATATAATTGTTAAGAAATTATAACAAATTTAAAAAAGAATGTTCTTCCTTTGTGTATTTAGACGAAACATGGATTTTTGCTAAATTATTGAAGAATGGTGAATCCGTGAAGGTCGCATCGAAGCAATTAATCCTGTCATAATTTACCATCCGAATGAGGATAGCAACGACAGTGATTATAACTGTGAATCTGATGGTTGATGATAGTTTTAAGAGATTAGGAGAATACGAGAATAAGTAAGTTTTTTTGTTTTGTTAAAACTAATTGAATATTCAACTAAATAAATTACACTAAGTAATCCCTTAAGTATTGTTACACTTCGTTTAAATCATTTAATTCAAAAACCAACTTGTTTACAATACTAAACTCAATGATAGTAAATAATTACTTCAAAATCTGAAATACAACTGTTCTATAAACTATCAAATCTATATTTATATCATGACTTCATATTTAAATCTAAGGTTTATGTCTGTCATAACAGTATTTTAAAAATGGAGAGAATTTACTATTGTACAATTCAGCACATTGGAACATTTAAATCGATACCTTAAACCGAATTTAAAACAGTCATATATTCGTGGAATGGAGTATATAGAGAAATTCGTAATAAGAAAGGAAATGTTGAAACTATTTGCTAATAACTCTTCGCCTGTCTATAATCTAGCAAGTATTAGATGAAACTATAAACCACAAATCACGCGTCGTAAGTGATCAAAAAAAAGTAGCCGAAATGGTGAAGTAGTGGTGAAGAAACATCATAAAAGAAGCAGCTGAAGAATTACTAAACATGAAAGATAAACAAAGAAGAACAAGAACAAATGACTATTTTGACGAAGAATATCAGATTATAATAGAGAGAAAAACAAAGCATATTTATTCATGCAACAGGGATACAGAACTCGATAAGCAGACGATGAATGTAAATAACTACGTAAGAAAGAAAAGAAAATTAACCGCAGAAAGAAGAGAAACACTATGAACAAAGAAATTCAAGAATTACAAGATCTAAGTAAACCAATAGAGATGAGAAAATGTTACCCCAAACTGAACAAAAGCAAGAAGGAATTCAAACAAAAAGGAGTGAAGAGATAAGGAGGGTAATATATTGACACAATAGCAAGAAAATCTAAGAAGATGGAATTCCTGAATGAGACCGAAAACATTTTAGATTATATGGATGTATTAGATGTTCGTCTGTAATACTCCATTTAACGTTTTTTATAAAAATATTACTTTTAGTTATGTATTCTTAATATGCTATACGGTAAATTCATAAGACCAGCTAAATTATACAATAACTTCACGATATCAAGCGTATGACTCATTTCAATATTTCTTTGCTGGAGTATTGTCTGGATTTTATTCCTACCTACGTTTACCGGTTCGCCCACACAGGGATAGGTGGGTGTTCGTGTAGCAATACAGGTACGACATGGAGAGTAGAACGTCAGGGACGGACTCCCAGACCACCCTGGTGCGATCGTAACTATGACTCTCCTATCGTCTATTTATATTATTATGCGAAGAGATAATTATCAACTTATACGAAATATAATTAAAGGAAAAATTGTAGGAAGTATAGAGAGAACAAAGACGTCTTGGCTACAAAATTTAAGAGATTGATTTGGTTGTAACTCCAATCAACTATATATCAAGAGCAATTAGGGTAGCCCAACTTTGAAACGCACACGTAATGCAAAAAAGAAAACAGTTTTTTTTTAGTTCTTTCCATATTGTCAATTACCATTTTGCAGGTTTCTTCTTTCCTATAACAGCCAAGATAAATTAAATGGACAGTGATTGATCAAAAGTGAATAATAACATATAAAAATAGTCTAAATTTATCGATCTATATTATTATTATCTTTTTTACTTATTTATTACTTACTCCAGTCCAACAGCTTTTACGAACTCATAGAATCCTGGAGCACCTAAAGACGAATAAGCAACAACGACAATGTTATGTTTCCTACAATATCTGCGCAGTTCTCTTTGTTGGTAATAGGGCTGAAGTTCAAGTTGATGATTTGCCGGCTTAATCCTAGCGTGTGACATGATTTTTTCCATCTGGGTTATGTTAAAATTAGAGACTCCTATAGTTCTTGTTCTTCCTAAATCAACTTGTTCTTCCATTTTCTAAAACGACATTTTTTATATATCTATAAGAAGAATGGATGAGAGGCAACGTGGCTTAAGTAGTAAACTAAGATATTTTAGTGTAATTTTTTCCTATATTTTTTCCCGATTAAGGTCGCAGTAAGAATATGTAAGAATATCAGGCAATATTTAATTAAGGAAGATCCTTCTAACTTTGCCTAAGATCTGTCACTTAATTTATTAATAATGTTGATTGCTGATATTGTTTGAGAAAGTATTTAGTATTTAATTTCATATTTTACACTAATATTTTTATTACTGTACTATAATATGATCTTATTTAATGGTATATTCCATGGACGTATAAACAAAGATGTACTCAGTTATTTACATAAAATTGTGTAGTCAAAGTTATTTGAATAGGTCACATTCTCAGCACGTTATGCACATTTGATATGATTTTTTTTTGTAATTTATGTTTTAATGAAACTAGAGATCTGGGATGATTATGTTATTGTTTTGCATGGAAAAAAGGGCTATTTTAAATGATGAATATTGGTATTATTTATTTCGTAAGATGAGAGAGTGGTAAACCTGGCTCAAATTGTCGATGTTGGTTCTTTTGTTTATTGCAGATGGGTTTTTTAGGATCTCACACATTTCAATAAAGGAGCGTTTTTGATGATTATTTTGTTTCGCCAGTATTTTAGTATTTGAGAAGTCAATGTGATGTTTGGTGGCAATGGCGTGTTGTGCAAGGGCACAAGAGAGTTTGGAAAGTCTAATGTCGCTTTTATGTGAAGATACACCCTAGAATGAACGACGTTGGCAATGTAGCAGAATGCATTCAGAACAGGATCTGATAGTGTGCTCTAACAGTTGGAGTTTTGGACTTGGAGAATAACTTTCCAATGGTTTTAGTGTTTTTTTAGGGATATTTTGACGGGTAAGTTTTTGAATAGTTTAGTAAGCTTGTTCGTAGTTTGTGGGAAATATGGAAGAGAAGCATATTTTGTGGCTGGTTTTGGGGTTAACAGGGAATTATCAGTCTGTAAGCTATTGGATGTGGAGGCTAGTATTGCACCGTTAGGTGCTTCAGAAATAGAATGACCGTAGCTTTTAGAGAAAAGATATCTGTTGATGACGGATATGGGGTAAGAGTTATCAATGAGGATGGATTTGAGTAAATCCAAAGATTCCCTCTTGTACCGCGTATGGGTCAACGTGTGTACTCTAAAGCTAAGAGCTTGTACAAGGTTACCTATGTTTGTATCTCATTGGGTGTGTAGAGTGGTAATTTAAGAACCGGTTACTCGCCATTTCTTTCCTGTACCACGTAGTGCCCAATATGTTGCTATGTGTGCGTATGATTCGCATGTCCAAAAACGGTATGCTGTTATCAACCTCCAATTCATATGTAAATTGAAGGTGAGGATCAACACTGTTGAAGACTGATAAGGTGCTTAAAATCTTATCACGTGGTGTTGCTAGGATCAGGTCGTCGACATCACGCTTTACAAAGGGAACCTGGAAATCTAACTTACTGATACTCTCATTGATAAGGTCGTCGAGTACAAAATTAACTAGAATGGGGGAGATGGACGATCCCATGGGAGTTCCAAAAATTTGAAAATTTGACGATAGTATTTGTCATTAAAAATTAGAAAATTGGTGTCAAACGTCAGTTTTAATAATTCCGAGAATGTTTCCCACGATACTGGACTGTGTGGTTTGATTTCATTCCAATGGTTCCGGAGTGACGTGACGACGCTAGAGAGTGGGAGATTAGAAAACAGGGATACTACGTCGAAGCTTACTAAGACATATTCTCTTGGTAACTGATAATTATTGATAAATTCACTGAACTGGAAAGAGTCTACTATGTTGAAATCGTTCTTGTAGTTGTATGCTTGTGAAAGAATGTCGGTTAAGAATTGGGCTAAATTAGTATTAGGAGCGTTGATTGACGATAATATAGGACGCATACTCAGTTGGGGCTTATGGATTTTAGGCAGGCAATAGAACCTGAGGGCATTGCCAGTATAGTTATGGAGGGATTTGGCTAATTTATCATCGATGATTTTTTTGTTTTTTAGTTCAGTGATGAATTTATTTATTTTATTAAGTTGATGTGGGATTGCGGGGAAGTGGCTGATAATATTTATTATCATCTAGAAGTTGTTGGCTCAGGTTTAGGTACTGCTCTCTCATCATTAGTACTGTTGCATTGCCTAGATTGCATAGATAAACGGATGGAGTGTTTATATATGTGTAATACTTTTGTCAACGAGTGTATTATTAATTTGAATCTTACTGACTAATAAACTGTCACTTACCTTCCACACACCAACTAGATCAGTCGGCCTAGGAACAAAGCCTCCTTCTTTTGTCAAGTCTACGGCGATGGGAAAATGAATGAGAAACAGATCGACATAATCTAGCTGCAGCTTTTCTAAAGATTCTTTCAAAGCAGAATCTACTTTATTGGGAAACTCATTAATTATATGTAATTTGGTTGTGACAAATAAATCTTCCCTTTTCAACTTCCCGGAAGATAACCATTCGTGGAGAACTTTTCCGACCACTTGTTCGTTCATATAAAATTGTGCAGTATCGATATGACGGTAGCCTACTTTTAACGCTTCGTTTAGGGCTATTTTTAAAACTGTTTCGTTCATCATCTACAATTAAATACAAATGTTATCATTAAGAACTAGATCCGATTAATTACAGTATGCGAATATTTTAATTGCCTTAGAACCCACACTAACTTTCTAGGGGCGCAAAAATTGGGCTTATTCACGTCTAGAAACAAATCATAATCTGTGAACATTTTGAGTAATATTAAATAAACGAGATAATAAACTAAAAAATAAAACTTTTGTAATAATGTAATTAAAAATTATAAATAAGATAGATATATGAGGAGTCAGGATAAAAAACAATCTCCACAAAAACAGTTTTCATGGAAATCGAAATTTAATGTTTTAAATTAAAAGATATTGACATGTTTACAGAGGAAAAAGTCAAAAAGAGACAAAAAAATATTTTATTTGCGAAACACCATACAAAAAATAGAATGATGGCATGGACCATGAACGTTCTTTCCCAGTACCTCCAGGCTTCTACGTCACAAAATGTTTCTTCCTTCGAACTTCCCTCCTGTTCAGTACCTTGTAAATCAGTGTAGAACGTTAACGTATTGCAAATATTTGGTCAAGTGGAGAAGATCTTGTAACTTAGCAGCTTTGAGCGGAAGTCGGCCGTTGTACAAAGCTCCGGGATGATTGTGGTCAGTAACTTCCGGTGTTGTGATTTATGAGCTTGTCTTAAATCTCTTTTCGGGTTTCGTTTAACTTTGCATTCAAGCAGCGAGCTTGTAAATAACCCAGAATAGGTATTCTTGTTCTCTTCTGTTGCTGAGGACTTCTCTCCAATCATACGGGAGTTTCCGTATAACCTTTGTCATTAATTAAACTCATGTCCCAGTCGCACTCTAGATAGAAATGTCCTCTGATGGGAAAAATTACTTTCACAAACTCAAACCGTCCCTCTGTCTGAACTAGATAATGAAGGAAACCAAAAACTGTGTAATTTTTATTTTGCCCTCCACAAGAAGCGCAAAATATTATTAAATTTTGAACCTGAGATGACAGTACGTTATACACAAAGTGATAAATCATCAAAAACACATCGTCAGTCCCCTTTTTTGCTACAGATTCGTCAGAAGTATAGAAAACAGAGATAGAATCGTCCAATACATGTACAGTAAAGCTTATAAAATTAAGTTGCCTTTATAGAAGACATCGTTTGAGGCCCCATTAGGGGTTGGTAAATTATTTTGGAAGGCTATGGTTATGGCTTCCGATCGATTCCTTTTGACGACAGTTTTCGATATTTCTTTTCAAAGAATAAAATTTTCACTTCTCGCAAGATGAAGTTGTTTCTTGTTGTATTTTTACTGTAATTTCTCCAAGATTTATATTTTATATTCATCACTGCTAGCATCTAATTTCTGCGAAAGGGCAGATATTTTCGCTTTTATAGTCTCACAGTAGCTATAAGTATCTTTACTTTTTTCCGGGAGAAATGCAATTTTCTATGTTTTAAGGAACCAATAAATTCTGTCACTTTGAGGATACCATCTTCATAAATTTTATAGGGTCTATTTTCGGGTTTTCCTCTAGCGTCTAATGGTACAGGGCCAGTTAAGGCCAGTGATTCTCGAATTCTTTGAACTCGGAAAGCTGTGATTCCATGAATGGATAAGAATGCTTTGAAAAATACTTGCACATCACGAAAGTCTCCATCAGGGCCACTCCTAACACGATAGGAATAAGATGCAAGATTAGGTATTCGTGTGCACACTCAAATTTGTCGAGGCATAACTAGGATAACGGTTATCAGACTACCTAAATACTGATTTTAATCGTTGTAGTTAGCCAGTTCATTGAATAGAGTCAAAATACGTCGCCTCTTAGCTTTATTGCCGTTCCCAAAGCAACGAAAACGGTGGCACTTGCAATCTGGGTTTACCTCATGAGTGGTGGCTCTCAGAAGTTTCATAACATCATGAACACGGCCTGTTTTTCTTCTTTTTTTAGCAGCAGTCTCTGCATCTACATCACTACAATCGCTATCACTCCTTTCCATTTTCATCAGTATATACTCACTACTTTACTATTGTTCAAATAGAATCAACTGGCAAACTAGAACACAGCAACGAAGTCGCTAAACCACATTATATTGCTAAAAAATTCTTTAGCATTATACTGTGGCTAAAATAAGAAAGAGAATCACAAAAGTGGATTATGATTGATTTTCCCCCTAACTCCTCATATCGAATACGGGGTGGCACAGGCAAACAAAACTTTGCTTGAAGAAAATATTGAAGACGATAGGTTAAGAAGTTTTGCAGCTAAACAGTTAAAAATGCTCTATGCATCTACCAGAGGAAGTTTAATATATTTTTTTTATTTTTTAAGAAATAAAAAGCACTTGGACCAGATGATATTCCTGGGCAAGTGTGGAAAGCATTAGGAGGGGCAGGGACAAATTGGTTAACAGGCCTATTTAATAGAATTATGGAAGTTGGACAAATGCCGAAACGAATGGAGAAGCAGTGTATTAGTACCTGTCTACAAAAACAACAGAGGATTACAACAATGTACAAACTACAGGGGCATAAAACTACTTAGTCACATCATGAAAATAAGGGAGAGAGTAATTGATAGACGGATCAACCACAGACACAATTTTCATTATAAGACAGTTGATGGGAAAATGTAGGAAAAAAGAAACAAACGCTCATATGGTATTCATTGATCTTGAGACAGCATATGATAGAGTTGGTCGGGCGATTCTGTGGTGAATACTGAATAAGAAAGCAGTCCCTGGCGAATATGTAAAGATTGTGCGAGACATGTATGAGGGAGTAACAACTAGTATTAAGACAGGTGTGGGAGAGACTGTTATATTTCATGTGAAAGTAGGATTGCATTAAAGTCTAAGTCTTTAGTTATTTTCATTAGTTCTGGATCAAATAACACCGAAACTAAAGGGTAATATTCCGTGGTGTTTAATGTATGCTGATGATGTAGTGTTAGTAGGAAATAGTGAAATTGATTAGAAAACTGAGGTGTTAGTTTTCAAAGGGACCCGGGATAAATTCTCTCTTCGCTTTATAGTATGGAGGTTGCACCGGTTAAATCAATTAAATATCAATTAAAGTCCGGTTGTCGGAAGGTCTAAGGTTCGGAGTTCACATCCAAAAGACAGTAGAGAAGGCGAACCGAAATCTGGAGGCGTTGATACGGTTGATTCCAAACATTGGAGGTCCAGGAAGCACCAAAAGAAAGTTGCTAAATAGAGTTTTCCAGTCGATAGTAACCTACGATACCCCTACGTATCGTAGGTGTAGTGGTAGTAGCGGTGTAGTGTACTAAACACCGTGAAATACGCTAATCTGATGAAGACTTCGCAAAGACGAATGCTCCTCAGGGTATCTAGCGCATATAGGACAGTCTCGAATGAGGGAAATATGTCATTGGAGCGGTGATACCGATCGTTTTGTTGTTGTTGTTGATCGTAGAGTGGTTTCATTCTGTCTCCGGCTTCTATATAAAATGTAGCTTCTCCATTTCTTAAATTTTAAAGTGTTTATTTGTCTTTGTTTAGTGTATTTAATATGTCCCAATTTACATTTATAACATTCTATTACTGCTGGACAGGCCACAACTGGCGAAATGCCCCTGAGGATGATCTTGTGATCGAAAGTACTTGGGCAAGATTTGATTAACTACTGTGTTCGATATTTGCCTTGTGTACCATCAAAGTTGATTCCTAATATTACCAGTGGCAATATTAGGGACTAAATATTAAACTTTTTTGCAGGATGCCGAGAAAAAGAGCTAAGTAGTCAGAAGAACATCTACTCTCGACGCTGCAATCCATAGCAAACAAAATGTCCATCACAGGTGCTGCCAAGCATTATAACATTCTCCGCTTAACGCTGGGTCTTTACCACAGAACACAAAACCCCGTAAGAAAGCTTGGAAGATCGCGGGTGTTGTCTGCAGCACAAGAAAATGAGCTTGGCGAAAGAATTCACAGATTAGCTGAGGTAGGTATGCTTATTACCAGCAAAATTCTAATGAAAAGTGTGTTTTCTTACGCTACAACAAATCATATACCAAATCCGTTTTCTAAAGAGTCAAATAAAGCTGGTAAAAAATAGCTTAAGTTATTCTTGTGCGGGCATCCAGACGTAGCGAGGTGAAAAACTCAACAAATGAATATGGCTCGAGCTCAAAAAAATTAATAAAACAATCGTCGATGACTTATTTCATAAATTAAGAGATACGATAGAAAAACTTAACTTATTTAACAAACCTGATAGCATATATGATATGGACGAAAAAGGATGCAGATTGACAATCCATAAGGAAAAAATTGTTTTTTTCTAAAGGGGGGACAAAATGGGTACATTTAACCGCACTCGAGCACGAAGAAAACGTGTCAATGGTAGGTTGCGGAAATGCGCTTGGTCAACTTATATCACTGTTTGTGCTTTTTAAAGGCCAAAGGTTTAAACCTGAATGGTCTGATCACTTGCCCATGGCTCAAAAGCTATTTTCACAAATAAAGGTAGTATGATATGCGAAACATTTGTTTTGTTGCTTGATCACTTCTCTTCATTCAGAAACTCTGGTTCTACCCTACTAATATTAGATGAAGCAAAAAATCACCTAGATATTTCCATAGTTGAGTCAGCTAACCTAACTTCATTTTGTCTTACTAGCAACAAGTCACACGAGTTACAACCTATGTTAACATATAACAAATAATTATAACAAATCAGTGCTTAAAAGCTTTGAGACAGTTTTGGACCAAGAAGTCTTTCAGTTTTTAACAACAAACCCTGGCAAGGCAATTACCAAAATGAGGTTTGGAGCAATTTTTACTCCAATTTGGCTAAAAGCAATGACACCATCAAACATTATCTCCGGTTTTGCAGCTACCGGCATTTATCCGTTTAGACCAGACGCTATACCTGAAGTTGCTTTTGCACCAAGTTTAATCACTCACAGAGGAGAAAACAGAGTAAACCACAGTAGCTCTCAAGATTTATCAGATGTCGTTAGAAGTTATAGCAAATCTGTTGAACCGCATATAAAAACGAATCGAGTACAAGCGGATATCAAGTGCCAAAGAAAACTAATAACAAAAAAAGAAGCATTTAATTACTCTCTCAAGTAGTGAATCATTATCAAACTTTAGTCTTCACGATGAATCACTTGACGATGGCCTAGTGAAGATGAACCTATGAAAAGTTCTAAGAGAAGCAGCAGCTCTGAAGATGGCAGTCGACTACTTGAATTAAAATTTAAACAGAAAGGCAAGACGATTAAAAAAGAAACAATAAAATATAATCCATGGTCTAATGAAGTAACAACTTCTGACTTCAAATACTTAAGCAGTTCTTTTAAAGATACAGGACTGCTGATTACCTACACCGGAAATTAAATTACCCACCGTGAAGAGAAAGACAGATGTAAACAGTAAAGCCCAACAAGTAACCAAAGATTTTTTCTCACTAATACCAAAATTGAATAAACTAACCAAAGTTGTCAAAAAACAAGGAACAGTATGATATGCGCTTTTGCATAGTGCGCCATCGTTATGTTCACGAGGGCTGTGTAGGACTGACTAAAGATGACAAAGAAAAGTTTACTTGCCCTCAATGTTCTTAAGTTGTATTTTTCAGAAATGTTTGTTACGTTTATAAAATTAATTGCCTTTATTTTTTCAGAAAAATGTATTACTTTTAACCGTAATTCTGGAGTACCTAATATTGACATTGGTGGCAATAATAGGAGATCTGTAACCTATTGCCAAATATTGCCATTCGCAACTTCAATAAAAAAGTATTTTTTATTTAGTTTTTGTTTAGTTTTTTAATAGTGGAAAATATATTTCTTTGCTACTACCCAAATTTGTTTTCATTTATTAATAACAGTGTAAGATTTCTTTAAAACCAAATACACTTACCTTATATAGTAAGGTTATTATAGCACTATATAGCCTGCAGAAGTTTACAAATAAATAAACATATAAATATAAATAGTTATAAGTAAAACTAATGGTAAAACTTACCAAAAATGTTCCATAGCCTATTGCAGGCATTTTAACTCCTCCATTCATGGTCATATATGGAACCGATGACTGTACTATTGTTACATACAAGAAACATGGTACAAAATAACTCAATCGGATGTTCATTTTTGTAGATTTGATCAAAAATATAATAGTACAAATTAAAATATACCTTTTTCTACTTATTTGTTCTTTTATAAACGTCTTGATCAAGGCTATATTGCAAAGCTATTAATTTTCGGAACGATTGGGGATATCACTTTAATTGTGTCATTATCTTTTATAATAATATGTTAAATATCAACTAAATATTACTTACAGAATAATCCATCCGCAGTGGTACAATTTGAAACAGGTTAATTTCTTGTAAAAACAACAACTAGATAATTGTTTTGAATATGTAATATAACCAGTAAAGCGTAAAAAGCATTTGAAAGTAATTTTTAAGAGAAATGAATTGGTTAAACGGTTATAGAATATGATATGGTTCTACGAGATATATATTTATTTATTTTTCATCGACCTAGTGTCTTAGCAATAATAATGCTCGTTACTCTAATTATGCAATTTAAAAGTAATCTGATCTCATTATAAAGCTAGTTCCAACTACTTTATAGACGTAAGTATTAACCCCATTTTCAATTTAACGATCAGACTTTTACCCTTTTTTTCATTTTTAAGTCTTTTTTGGCCCTAGGTTTAAGACCTATTTAGTCAGATAGTTGTTTGAATACGTAAAAACAATGTCCTACTCTTTCTTCAATTTCCTAACCTTCTCATTGAAAACACTATTGGGTGTTTCGGGTGATATATCAGTTTCGGAAAGTTTTATTTTATATAGGTAAGCGTTTACTGTAGTATTCCCAAAAAGCAATCTAACGCACATAGTATAAATTTTCCGAGAGATTGGACTTCTGTCATTTGTAGGAGTAGATGGAAGAGTTGGATATATACTGCAGTATGTATTTTTGCTACTGACAGTAAAGGATTGCCACTCAATTTCCCAAATAAGTCTAACATGTTTCTTCCTAGCTGAACCTATATCCCATTTGGCAACTCGTTGTACTCTATATCCACTAAAGTTGCGTCTTTAGCCAAATGGTCTACTTTTTCATTGCCTGGAATATTAGAGTGACCTTTAACCCATACCTTAGCTTTTCAAGCGCATCTACAATTAGTCTGTTACTATTTATGTGTTTAGAGAAGTGTCTTAATGCGAGGAGGACGGACTGTGAGTCAGATAAAATTATATATCGTTCGAAATAGAATGTTCTATTAATTATCCAGTCCAACGCCTTGATAATGGCTACCAATTCAGCTGTGAATATTGAGCAATCTGATTTTAATTTGTACTGAAAATAATCTTGAATATTGTCTATTTAAAATGGCACAGCCAACACCAGCAGACGATTGTGAACCATCGGTATAAATTTTACAAAAATGGTTAGAGTCTTCCAGCTTGTTCTTTGTGTTCTGTACTACTAAATCTTCGTGAACAATTGAATTAGATGAAGGAATTACTACAGCAGGTTTATATTCATATAGTAAGTCATAATTGGAGCCAAAGAATGGAATCCCTTCTCCATCTAATGAATATTGTGATAAATTGGGAAAAGTAACAACTAGGGTTGCAGAGTTTTTATTTGCCACCATTTGTTTGTTAGATTTTCAATAGAGACAAGATATTTTTTGTAATAAGCTGTGTTGATTATTAAACTGGCATTTAAGAATAAATTTTTCTGCCAAAAATAGACGTCTTAAATGTAAAGGTGGCTCGTTACATTCTGCCAAAGGGGCTGGTGTGGGAGTAGATTTGAGAGCTCCTAGGATTAACCTTAAAGCTTTGTATTGTATTCGATCCAATTTAATCAAACGAGATTTTGTCGCTGATCCATAGAAAAAGCTTCCGTAGTCAAAAATTGATCTGGTATATGCTCTGTAAAAGTTTATTTTCGGGTCTGCTCCCCAATCGTATCGATTAACGGCCTTAAGGATATTAAGGCTTTTTTCACATTTGGTACTGCAATTATTAATATGCTGACACATCTGATATGCTGATATCTGATCCATACGTATCCTGACTAACAGTCCAACCAAGTGTAGGACATACGTTAGATGAAGCAATTGTGATATCTACTGCAGATTTAGCCTGGCCAGGAGGGGAAATCCTTGTGTCAGATCCATCGTTTATAACAATCAAGTTTGAAAAATGATCTAAAGAATCCACCAAAACTCTGCCATAATACTATTTTGACTTTAAAAATGGTGATTATGTTGCTTTAAATTATTATTTAGCAGAAGTTGACTGGAATTTATTATTTCTTAACAAAAGCATTAATGACGTAGTTAAAGATTTTATGATATTTTATTTTATTTAATCGAATTGTTTATACCATTAAAAAAAATTTAAAACATCTACATATCCCAAATGGTTTACATCAGAGTTAAAACATTTACTTTATGAGAAGAAAAAAGCACATACAAAATTTAAAATGACTGGTGGTGATGAGAACTATTGTCTTTTTTTCCGATCTCCAGGGAACAATGTAAAGAGCTTAGCAAGTATTTACAAAGGCGTCATGTGAATGAAATTGAGGCTAGCATTTTTCATAATTCTAGTTCTTTCTGGAAATATATTAATAATAAACGCAAATCTCATATTCTACCATCGAGTATGAGTTATGGTAATGAAAGTAGTGAAAATGGTTCAGATATTGTGAATTTATTTGCTGGGTTCTTTTCGACTGTCTATAATAAAGAAAAAATAAATCAGATTTGGACAGCGGGTCCAGATGGTATACCAATGTATTTTATTAAAAAATGTGTATTAACTCTTGCTAAACCTATTCAGCTATTATTCAATAAGTCCTTAACTTCTTCTACATTTCCTGATTTTTGGAAAGTGAGTTTTTTAAAACCCATTTTTAAATCTGGTCAAAATAATAATGTTGAAAATTACAGGGCTGTTTGTTTGCAGTCTGAACTACCAAAGTTGCTTGATTTTTTTGTTAACCATATGTTAACCTACGATTGTAAAAATTTAATTCTCGGTCAACAACATGGTTTCTATCAAAAGAAATCTACTTGTACAAATCTTATTTTGTATTCAAACTTCATTGTTGATTCTATGGAATCGGGAAACTAAGTTGACTCCATATATGCTGATTTTGCCAAAGCATTTGACAGGGTAAATCACGAAATATAATTGCTAAACTTCGTGCATACGGAATTGGAGATAATTTATTGGATTGGATCACGAGTTATTTAACAGATCGTTCACAAATAGTAAAATATGGTAATTTTGTTTCTGAAGCGATTAATGTTACTTCGGGTGTACCTCAAGGTTCTCACTTAGGCCCACTTCTATTTAATCTGTTTGTGAATGATATATCATCAGTAATTAATAATAGTGAATTTCTATTGTTTGCTGATGACATAAAGATCTTTAAAGCAATTAAAAATACCTCTGATATGGATGCTCTTCAGTCTGACTTAAATAATTTATCTCGTTGGTGTGACATTAATGCCTTATATTTAAATATAAAAAAGTGCTATAAAATTACGTTTTCCAGAAATACTAAACATCAGTTATATAGAACATACATACTTAAGGGAGTATCGATTACAGAAGTAAATCAAATTAGAGACCTTGGAATTACATTTGACCAAAGACTAATGTTTGATAGGCATATTAATAATATTACATCGCGGGCTTATAGAATGCTCGGCTTTGTTCAAAGGAACTCCCGAGAATTTTCAATATTTACTTTCAAAATTTTGTATTGTTCTCTAGTTCGGTCCATTTTGGAATATTGTAATATTATTTGGTATCCATATTATAATATGTATATTGATCAGTTGGAACGAGTTCAAAATAAATTCCTAAGAATTTGCAGGTATAAAATGGGTTTTAATAGAACTAACTGTGATTATAACTATATTCTTTGTCAACTTAATATGAAAACTTTAGAAAATAGAGAATCTGAGTGTGAATTGCGTTTTTTGCATAAAATTCTTAATGGTTATGTTGATTGTCCGGAACTGCTGGAATTAATTGTTTTTAATGTAAATTCTAGAAGAACACGCTCTCCTGACCTGTTTAGACTAAAGTTTCATCACACTAATTATGGTAAAAGTGAGTCAATCACAAGGATGTTGAGAACTGCCAATAATTTGCAAGATAGTGTTGAATTGTTTAATTTATCCGTGTCCTCGTTCAAGAACAGTTTAAAGAAATTGAGACATTAATGTTATTAATACTTTTTAAAATTGTAATATATGACTACAGTTTATATGTTAATTATATGTGTATATTGTAATTTTTGTAAGGAAAAAGGGTTCATCCCGTTAAATAAACAAACAAACAAACAAATATGAGCATGCAGGTGAGCCCCACATGCTGTGATGGGCATTAAAGTCGCCTTCTATTATGCAATCATGTTTTATTTGACTTTGAAGTTAATAAACTTAATGTTATCAGTAGGCTTATACCATGTTTTATAAATTATTGCAATATCAAACTTTTCCTCCATTAAACTTTGATAAAAAGATTTTTTGTTAGCTTTACGAGATCTAGCGTTCCACTGAATAATCTTAAGACTTTGTTTAAAGGACATCTTTGAGTTTTTTTTTTGTTTTGTTAGGTTTTAAAAATATTATCAATAATATTTTTAATTTTATTTTCAATGGTAAATGGTTTCATGGTAATTAATTGATGTTTAAGTGTTGAAAAATCATTTTGCGGCTCTTTTCCAAACTGGAAGACCGATCCTGCACAAAAGCTAGTATTATATTCTCGTTTAATGGGTGGGAAATTGGGAAAAGAATCACTAGTTTTTCTTTTTTTTTTTGGCAAGGGTTTAGGAGAAGATAGTTGATCATGTGTTGACCTTAAGTTCGATTTAGAAGAAGTATTACGGACAGGATGTTGTGCTGTAGAAGTTTTTAAAGCAGGAAATTCTAGATCTGAATATATAAATATATATATCGAACTATATAAAGCAAATCCTTGTTTATATGTGCCAAAACATCCATTATACAAAAATAGGAATGGGAGAGTAAAAGCTTTGGAAGAAATAAAGGCGGAATTGTACAAACTCCTGTTTGTTTTGTTTACTCTTATCATAAAACTATATAACAAACTTCAG